GCAAGACAAACTCATCAACTGAAAGTTCATCATTGTTAAACGCTGAAATAATCCTACATTCAGCGCCAGCTCCAGCGAGCTTTATGCAACAGGAGCTCCAACGTCTGTCTCTACAAGACTGTTGATAATAACTCCTTATAATAAGCCATTTTTTTCATCACAACATGCTACAGATAGATAGAGGTTTTGAAATATTTTTACATCGTAAAGTTTTTTTTCGGAATTTGTTACCGAGATCATTAGCCCTCTGAACATATGACAGAGCTGTTTGAAATCGCAAAGTCGAAGGAGTGTTTGGTATAGACTCAATTGGACCTTCTTCTTACAAAGGAGCCGATGCTTAAAATCCTTCGTTAATCTTTTGCAACAATGAATATAATTGAACTTTATTTTTCCATTAATAATATTGTATCATTTGTTTTTTATTGTTTAACTCACAGCAACAACCATCCCAGATATCAAAAATTAAAACAAAAGAAAATAATCAATCCATCATCATCAGTAAATTTAAAAGTATGCTGGTTAATTTATTGAAAAAGATGTAAAGGAAGCCAGTTTAAATTCAGAGGCTCAGCAGATACAAAATCTGACGCTTCATATGCAATAAATAAAGTTTCCAATACTCTTTGAGGATTTCTTTTAAATATTGATGTGTTTGAGGATATCTTATCACATTCTATTATATATAAGGCATCAGGTGTAGTAGAAGTGCCTATATAGTAAATAAATTTTTGTAAGATTATTTTTGTGTGTGACATTTTTTTTATCGGTACCGCTAAAGTAGCTGTCATAGTACCATTAAAATTTACTTGGTGAGCAGTGTGTTAGTTTCTTTCATTTTTTTATTAACAATGTAGTTTTAAGTCTGATATTTCACAGCATATACAGCATATACACTATTACAGCTCCTGCTATAACAAAACTTGTTAGCTCCTTACTATGATCACTCCCGTTTTGTTCAATAGTATTTGTTGTTTCTGTCTTTAATCTATCCATTGGTATTGTTGTTTCCGTTGTTGAACCGTCTATTTTTTTTTTGGTCATTGAACCGTCCGTTGGTTTTGTGGACCTTTTCATTTTGTTTATATTTAATACACCTAAAGAAGCACCCATAGGAGCAATAATTAGTTGATTGTTATATTCGACTGTACTGTCCATTTTTAATGACAAATCGTTTGCAATCATGTAAGATATTGGCTATCATCTGTATCATTTTCTTGGCTATGAATACGCGTTTCCAACGCGTTAGCTTATTTAAAAGATTGCTTGCATTTTCATTTCCAATTATTGAACTCCTAGTGCTTTATTGTGCTGACAAAAGACAAATAGCATATTCGCGAATACTTTTTGAAAAAGCTATTTTCAAAAAGTACTTGCGAATATGAGACAACTAAAGACCAATTTTAGTTATGTCATCTGTCTGATCCGGAACCTGAATTACACATATGTTAGTATCATGAAATAAAAGAGGACCCAAGGGTCCTCTTTTATTTCTTATTTATGTAAACGATTTTCATAAGTTTTCAAACATTTTAAACTCTGTTTTATTTGCAGATGACACGAATTTATTTTACTCTAATGGAGATATTAAACTTTTATTTATAATAGTAAACAAAGAACTTTTAAATCTAGCGGAATGGTTCAAGGCAAACAAATTGTGCTAAAATTTAAATAAAACAAAGTATACTTTTTTTTATAGAGTTCACGATAAAGAAAACATTCCACTAAAACTTCCTAATCTTTATATTGGCAACTCTAAAATAATTAGAGAGTCATCAATAAAATTTTTAGGAGCGATACTTGATGAAAACTTAACATGGAGAAAACACATAAGTACAATAGAAAATAAAGTTTCAAAAAATATTGGTATACTATTCAAAGCCAAGCAGTTTTTAAACCAAAACTGCCTAAAAATTTTATATTTCTCCCCTATACATTGTTATGTAAACTATGCAAACATTGCCTTGTGCAGCTCTAATATAAGTAAAATTATAAAACTGCTTAGTAAACAAAAACATGCTGTCAGAATTATTTCCAATGCAGGTCGATTCACACATACTAAAGAACTATTTAATAATCTTCACATACTCAATGTTTTTCAGTTAAACCTTTATCAAATTCTTATTTTTATGTACAAACTTCATAATAAAATATCACCTATAATATTTAGTACACTTTTCAATAAAATTAATCACATGTACCCTACAAGATTTTCTAAGTACAATTATGAGCAACCTAAAATGCATTATTTGGCTACCAAATTTTCTATTGCTATAAGAGGTCCTAAATTATGGAACGCTTTATTAAGTGACGAGCTGAAAAATTGTTCTTCTCTTTACCCATTCAAAAAAAAATTGAAGCAAAAACTTATTAACGATGTTAATGAATTAAATTCTTTTTAAAAATTTTTTATTTTTATTTTTTCTTTATTTTTAACAATTATCTTATTAACTCTATAAACTATCCTATTAGCTTATCTATAGTTTTGATTTTTTTTTTAATTTCTTTTTACTATTTTCTTTTGATTATAGATTAGTAACTAGTCTTAACATACTTGTAAATAATTGTATATAACTTTTTAAATGGCACAAAGTAATTGTATATTTAACTTTTAATGGTTGTACACGCTTGCTTATGAAAGCACGTCGGGGTGTAGTGATAAGGCAAGTATTGTCTTCTTTTAACCCCGGTCACGTAGATCTTATTTATACTACACGGCATTGTATTCTTTTTTTTTACTGACAAAATAAAAAAAAAAAAAAAAAAAAAAAAAAAAAATGATACACAAAATAAAAATATGGTTTCAAGTTTTAATGGTAACTATAGAACTTTTCAGGTACCACTTTAGGGGTCGTTCATAAAGTACGCCCGTACAAAAGCGTATAAGGGTGAGGGTGTGTGTGTGGCGGGGAGAATTCAATTTAAAAGTACGTACGCACAAAAAAAAAAAAAATACTTTAGTAATGTTCGTTTTTCGAACTAATCACAATAAACAAGTATTTATTAATAACTAAATGCTTTTGAACATCTTAAAAAAAATAAAACTATACCGTATCATTGTTGAGGGAGGTATTTCAAAAGCGTACGTACTTTTTTTTTTTGGTGGGGGAGGGGGGAGGGGAACTTTAAAGTACGTATGGTATCAGGGGAAAGGGAAGGAGGGGGATCAAAATTCTAAATTTTTGGCATACGTTTTTTATGGACGACAACTTTTTAATTCTATATCCTTTGTTGTTTTCCCTGGATCAGTAAGGTTACTACATGATGTTGTTTTAATTAGGTGTACAAATTTAATAGCTCGACAAGAAATATAATCATTAATAGATTATGGAGATTACTAAGAAATCTAATCTTAATCCTCCCAAGGCGATCTTTAACTAACAGGTTGACGCAGGGCATCGATGATCAAGCAGATCCAAGAAATGTAATTTATTTAAGGTCAGGATCAAACTCTGGTAGTACAACAGGGGCTGATACAGCATTATCTCTCGCTTTATGGGCTGAGGCCTAGCTAATGGATCTAAATTCTGCACCCTACTTAATTTCGAACTGTTCAACGCAAAAGGACCATTTCACCCATTAAGCTTTGGAGATCAGCTCGAATATAAATTGTTTTTAGTGACCCTGCGCATATTATCATTTCTACTGATACATTAGCAACACTAAATTTTAGTCTTAATAACATTGCTCTTCAATATAAGACCGTTTATAACCCACAACTAGCTACCAAAGTTTCCTATGGTAGTTTAAACTGATTCGGACTTTTTTTTTGAAAGAATTTGCTACGTTCAATAAAACGTCATTCCCGCGTTCAACAAGACGCAACTCAAATCTCATGGATTTTTGACGTACACATTTCCTGTAAAAATCTCAAGTACGTCCTCTTATATTGCCACAGTCAACCTATTTTTCTCGAAAACTTGAAAAATCAAACCATGTAATGAATATCACAAAAGTCGATATCCTAATTACTGGACAGCTTAATAGACTTTATTCAAATGGGATGTTGCCATATCAGTTTGTTGAGTCATACCGCTGTTTATCTGGTTCTTCGCGCGTTCTACTATTGAAACTAATAGGTTAAATATTGAAAATGATTTTCAAGAGGTAAAACTTAATGGATTTTACTACGGAACTCAGCGATTCCTTGCAATTGACCTTCAGAACTACAAGCGGCCAGCATTTATCAGGAAGTGGTAAAAAACTTGTAAACACTGGTGATGGTATCCAAATAAATTCCCGAACAGTTGGTGCCGAATCCGTCAACCTTGCACAACTTCATGGCCACTGCCGTAACAGTTCGAGCAACGGCGTTTCCATAATGTTGTTTATTAAAAAAAAAATACAGGTGAAAAAATTTTTTGTGCCTGTAAAAAATACAGGTGTAAAAAGGTTTTTATACCTGTAAATAAACGATACCCATAAGTCTTTTTCCTTTTTTTATCTAGAGTGGTACCTCTAGGGTAGGTTTATCTAGGGTGGTGCCTAGGGTAGGTATTTCTAGGGTGGTGGCCTCTTTTTTGTAAAAAATTTTTCTCAACTGTGAAAAAAGACTCATGATTATAAGTAATGATAGCAACAGTAAAAGTTATCAAATATGATTTATAAAATTAAACGTAAAACGTAAAATTAAACGTAATTATAAAATTAAACGTAATAATTGCATAAATAATAATCATATTAAAATCTAATACTTCAGATTGTAAATAATAATCATAAAGCAACTAAAACAAAAATATAATAATAATAGAAATAAAATGTTAATACAGTAATATATTAAAGTAATAATAAGAAAGGATATAATTAATATTCGTTAGATTTAAACTTAAATTTCTTAATTTGGTTTCTATTAAGAAGAATGTTACGAATAAAAGAGTATTTAGTTAATTTTTTCTTATAATATAAATGGTTCGAGAAAAATATTAATTTAATATCATTATCGCTACGGACCTGGTTATTGTATATAATTTGTCAAAACTGATAATTAAAAACAAAACAAATCATATTGCATTTTATTAAATGATTAAATAAGCTTACAAATAATCGTTTTTTCGAGATACATCATTTGACATATCTGTTATTCTTGTTAATGTTTTCATTCGATTCGTTATTAATGATTATTTATTTTATTAATCATTATGATTTTTAGATTTTTTTTTAGAAAATTTTCTTTTCACAGAATCAAAAGCAACAGGATTGTATTTTACAATCTTCAAGGACCTAATTTGAGATATACTGTTTTCAACAGATGGCTGACCACTATCGACAACTGGTAAAGAAACTGGTCCGATGTAAGGTCCTAAAGGTGTTCCCTGATAGTTTTCACCGGTCCACATATATACAGCAAGTCCACCAGGAACACGCATACTTTTAATTTTGTTTGCCTCTTCAGTGTAAATACATCCATGAATTACGAGTCGAGGGTAATCCTAAAAAGCAGTATTAACTACATTATTAAATTTAAAAAAAGTCTTTTTAATTGAAAGTTAATAAATAAATGCAATATTGTCTATCACTCATTATTTATAAAAGTCATATCCTATTCTAAATTCTCTGGCTTAGCACTAAACTGTTTTTTTTTGTCAACACAAAGCTATTTCTTTGGCAGTTTATCTTAGCTAAAAATACCTGTTTTTTTGATTATGTTTTTTTCTTTATTTTTTGGTTTGGTTACATGTCATATAATATAAACTTGGAAACTGGAAGATCTTGTCACCAGAATCATAAGGCATGCTATCGGAAAAATCTGCCCACCTTTCTTGATCAAAAAAGGATGTAAGAAAGCTTAAATGTATTTAAATCAATATATTTCTAAAAAATTAAGTTTTTTCCCTATTAATATGTAAAAATTACATATTAATAGGGAAAAAACAAAAAAAAATTAAGTTTTACAGAAAATTCCGACTTTCTTTTTGATGCCTCCATAAGTTTCTGGACAGAGTGATTTTTGTAAGTTTTAGCCGCTTAATCCCATTTTTTCTTCAAATCTGTAGCTGATTTTACTGTTTTTCTATCCAATTTCAATTTCTTTTTTATGATGGCCCAATATTTTTCAATAGGACGTAATTCGGGGCAGTTTGGAGGATTCATCTTTTTCGTAACCAACATCACTCCATTATCATCGTAAAACTTTTGAGCATCTTTTGAGTAATGTATTGTGACTAAATTAGGCCAAAACAATACTGAAGTACTTCTATGAGCTTTAATTAGTCGTTTTATACGAGAAAGACAACATTTCACGTATTCCGAAGATTTCATTGTGCCCAATCAAACCTGAATTGGCGATTTTTTGCCGCAAGAGCAAAGTGCCTGCCAAATCATCAATTTTTTCGAAAATTTATCAGTCATTACATACTTGTATTTTTAGGCAAAGGCTTGGAGAAGACAACTCTGACTTAACACACCCCTTGCCTTGGGGCTCTTGGTTTAAGTAAAAGCTAGAGATGGTGTCTCGATAAAAAAAACTCATCTTGGGCAGATGTTAAATGCATCCGGCTATTGTCTTGTAGAAGGCCTCTGAGGCAAAGACTTAAGAAGTAAAAAGATTCTAAATGTTAATCAGCTACACATCTCTTTTTCATCAATTAGGCTGGTGTAGATGTTATCTCCTAATAAGGGTACAGCTCTAAAACTCAGTTTTGTGGTTCGAAGGCCAGCTGGTAGTCAAGTTTCCCTAACTCTGTATTAGCTTTCAGAGAGGCTGATTCCATCAAAAGCTGTTAACTATCAGAGTACTAACAGTGTCATGTTTGGCATAAATGGTGTACTTTTCATACATTTAGTGTGCATGGTCAAGACCACATTTGGAACCCTTTGTTATGGTTTAGAGTTTATTATTAGTATTGAGGCAATTACTTGGGCTATTAAATAGTGTATTGAGTACTATATTCACCTATTAGTCGGAAAAGAAGGTTTGAATCCACAAACTATTCATTTATGTGCTTTCGTTTAGCACCACTTTACTCAATCACTTTTCTCTTTATTTGCTCTCTTTTGTCTCCAGACTTCTTTTATAATAAATAATTAAATAGTCAACACTCGAACTCACTTTCCAGACAATCAGAATCATTATTCTTCTCTATTAAACATATGTCTTGTTTCTGATTCTAGTCAGTGCACAGTTTCTCCACATTCACCATTAGGTGCTTCTGTTCATGCTTTGATCTCTCTAAAACTATTATCTCATTCAACTTCATCATCAGAATGCCCTAATCATCATACCTCTTTGAAATACCTTAAAACTGACTGGGACTCTTTCCGTAATTTTCTTTGTGATTTTGCTTGGGTTGATATCTTTCGTCTTCCTGCTGACAAATGTGCTTCTTATGTAACTTCTTAGACTTACCCTGGCATGAAATTTATTATTCCCCCCCCCCCCTCTCCTCTATTTGCTAATTTTTATTTGTTATCAGCAAAAAATTTATATCTAAAAATTAAAAATACAAAATTCAGTGAAAATCTTCCTTAAAAATTAAATAATTATTTCATTCACCAATAAAAACAAAAACTTTTAGGGTAAATAGGCTTTAAAAATCGTTGACCTATTAAATCTTGATTTGTCAAAAATAAGGTTTTGGTTTATTTCTCACCAAAGTATAAAACTTATATCAACATATTAAATCCTATTGAAATTATGATAAAACAGCTGTTAGAAAATGTTTAGATGCTAAAATAGTTTTTTATCTGTTAAGCTATGACCATCTTTACAATGATAGAAAATGGTGTTGAATACCAACTAGGCAAAACAACAGTAGAACGTGACTTTGGCCTGTTGATCACATCAGACATCAAATAGCATTGAGCATTGTCAAGTTAACACAGCAGCAGCAAAATTGCATAATGTAGTTAGAGTCATCAAGCATACCTTCACTTATCTAAATACAGAAAAGATTCTCTGTGTACACAGTGCTAGTTAGACTTCCCTAGTATTAGCAATCCCTGTATGGAATCCTAATTTGAAAGGTGACATTGAAACACTAGAGAAGGTCCAATGTTGCGTAACCAAACTGGAACAAAATCTCAAATATCTGTGTTATGAGGAGCAACTATCCAAAATGAAATTGACTATGTTGGAGACTATCCAAAATGAAATCGACTACATTGGAGACATTTTCGTGGCAATCTTATACAAGAGTACAAATTTTTTTATTTTTTTTTTTAACATCTTCGCTTCCAACAAGGCTGCAAGCAACCACTAATTAGTGTTGGAAGTTACTGAAAGAGAAAAGATGAAGATTGAAGAGCAAGATAACGATTGACAGTTATTGAATTATCGAATAATCACATTACGATCACATTACGTGGCTTAAACCACACCAATTTGCACCGTCATTACAAGCAAACGGACCAACATCAGCATTAAGAGGTCATAAACTAAGAATTGAAAAAAAAAAGTCAAACATTTTTGGTCTTGACAAGTGTATTTTAATAACCTTATTGCAAATGGATGGAATTCATTACTGATTCATGTGGTGAATGCACAGTTTTTGAACTCTTTTAAAGCAAGACTAGATGGATTTTTATTATAGATTTTGTGAAATTTATTTAATTCAATTCTTTTATATATAGCTTTTATTTTTAAAACTGTAAACTATTATAAACAAAATAAAGAGTAGTGTAGGGTGTCATAACGCATATATAACCATATATGTGTTTCACAATTTTAATTGCTACAGCATCAATATTACTATTATTATTACTAATATATTTTTTGAAATAAAAGTTTTTATATTTGATGTTTGTTTACTAATAGTATGAGACTAATCTAAGTTAAAAAACAATAAAATAATAATAATCATAATATTAGAGAAACAAAGAGAATAATAACAATAACACTATTAGATATAGTTATGAAAATAATGATTATATTAATAATTATTATAATAATAACATCAATTATAATAACAACAATAACTATAATAATATTGACAATATCCTCAATAAATATAAAACAATATTAATAATTAATAATGACAGTAATAAAAATGTAAATAAAATTTAAATAATACAGTAATAAGTAATAATAAAGTAATAAATAAAGTAAAAAGAGACAATAAAATTTTGGAAATAACTCGATAAGCCTCCCTTATTTTTAAAATCAATTTTTTTTTGATTTAATTTTTTATTTTGATGATTTTTTTAAGTTTTTTTTCCCCCCCATATTTTATTCAGAACTTTTTTCCTTAAAGGCATTTGATAATTTTTGTTAAATAATCAATTGATGTGCAGTGGAGAGTCACTATCCTCCCCACTTTAACATTGAACCTAATCTAATTTCACAGTGAAAGCTAATTATTTATAAAAGTTTTTAGTAAAACAAAAAAATACAATTAAAAAAATGTATAAACCAGGCATCAGCATTTTTTTAAGGTTTTTGGTTTCACAATTTTTTTTCAGAGGTTGAAAAATTTGCATTGCACAGAGAGTAGAATGTATTTAAGAATTCATTATAGATTATGTTTATATCATCATAGAAGTTTATGTTCCAGCTTAATAATGATAATTGATGCTTAATAATTTCCAAATTAATATATTATTAAAATATATTGTTAAATTGTTTTTCTTCTTTTTATATAGCTTTTATTTATATTAGGTGAAAAATTTAGTTTTAGGTGAGAAATTGAGATAAAGGTTAAGAAAATTAGGTGAGAAATTGAGTTAATTGTTAGGAAAATGGGGAAATGATCAAATACCATTTTTCACATAATTGAAGCATTTAAAAGTTTAATTTTAGTTGTAAAAGATTGCTTTATATTTATCCTTCAGCTGGATTTTATCGAAAAATTTGAAAAATTTAAACGGTCTTACATGATGATAACTTGTGCCAGGGTAACGCCCAAAACTCACTCCGTCTTTCTACCACATCAAAGATTTCATCTGCTACAAAGAATCCCCCTTAGAACCCTATACTGAACAAACTGTCGAAACTGCTTACCAAGGCTTTTATAAACATTTGTCAAGGTAAAAATGAAACAATAATCATCCAAAGTACAAAGAAAGATTGTTATGCTGCTTAACTGATTTATAATGATATTTGATTATTTTAATGATGCCTTTTTGCATGGAAGGGGCAATCTCTGGAAAAATTAGAATTGTGTTATCTAGAATTAAATTTATAAATTACAAAGGTCTTTTTGTTTATGTGTCATAAACTTGATTTGGTTGTTGGTAAATCATGTTTAAAGTGTTTCATGTGTAAGCAATAATTTTCTTTTGACTAAACAAAATTAAAGGATGTCAAACTGTATCAATGAAACACGAGAAACACAAATAAAACCAATATAGAGGTTTAAAAATATAGAGGTCTAGATATTTTTCACTCACTCAAAGAAATCACCAACAATAAAGGTTAGAATTTAATTTTATTAAAGGTTTATCCTCATTTCTTGATTTTTTTTTGTTGACTTTATCAACAATTATACTCATTTTTTAATGTTTTTTATAAACTATAGCCAAATTTTTAATATATATTAATTCATAACATAAAATATAATAAAATAAAAATAAATTAGTCAAGTCAATAATCAAAAAAGTAATTAATATTTTAATTAAAATTAAAAGTAATTAAAATAATATTAGGTATAAACCTATTCTAAGTAGGGTTTTCTTGAATTTTTCATAAAATGGTAGTCTTTACATAAGATATGTATTCTTGATGAATCATGGTAAAAGCTGAAATACTGAAAGCCTATTAATTGTGCATCCATAAGCCGCGACAACTGGGGGCCTATTTTAATATTCTGAAAAATACAAAGATGAAAAGCTCACATTAAAAAACTTGCTGAAGAATTTTTAACTTTTTAAAATTAATCTTGTTTATTCTTTTGTATCTCTATTAAATTTGTATTATAAATGTTTTTCATATTTTTATATAATTTTTTTATACTTTATATAATTTTTTGAGAATAATTTTAAAACACTGTATTTTTACTTTTTAACTCCTTAGAGTAATAAGAGTTATATAAGACTTCCAATTGCATTAGTTAGTACTTTGACACGTATTACATCAAAAGTTTTTTAGTTGCTTAAACTCAGTTTATAAAAACTTTGAAGAAAAACAAAAATTTGTATAATTATTCGCGATGAAGTATTGTCAAAAAAATGATACTTTAGGTAGAACATTGTGTTTGGCAATTCTATAGATGATCCATCATTTTTGGCTTAAACTGTGTTGGGAATTATGATAGTATGTCTCAAAGGTGGTCCTTAATTTCTTTATAAGATGACTCCAATTTCAAAATTAAATTCAAATTTTCTGTTTGAACAAATAAACTCCAGCATAAAACTTATGAAATCATCTTCTGGTAATGTAAAAGTTGTTGTATGTGGTGGTAATTGTGTAAACCAAGCATTTTTTATATTTTGTAACAACCATTCTTTAAATGATATTCTACTATTCCAGTAAAACCTTGGAAAACAGAAGATGGGATGTATTTACTGTTTGACTTTGTCCATTTTTTAAAAAACATCTGTAATTTTTTTCTTTCTGTAAGCCATAGATTAATCTATGGCTTACAGAAAAAACTGGGGAACTAGTGTACAGTGATAACGGTATATAAAAAACAGCTAAATGGTAACACCTGAAATGCTTATATCAATTAGAATTAGGAAAGTTAGTCAAATTGTCAGACTTGAATGTAATTGCAATAGCTACCAAATCAATTGAAAGGCAAAATTTATCTACTTGCCTTTTTCAGATAAGACATATCATGCTTTGCTGATCTATTCTTAAATATTTTCAAATTCTAAGGATACTGCAAATATTTATAAATAAAGTAATAACTTGTTGAAAATTTTTGAATGTGAAAGGTCGTGGAACTGATGAAAGACACAATGATCCACTAGAACAAGACACCTATCCACCTATTTGTAGTCCTGATGATTGCTGCCTTAACACTCTACTTTAGTTTGGTGTTGTAAAAATGGCAAAAGAGTTAGGCAGTTATCTACTGCAAAATCAATTTACCATACTTGCTATGGTATTATCTCAGATAGATACAAAAAATTTCATTAACAAATTAAAATAATATGTTTAAACTTTTAAGCAATATACAGGGTGTTAGCCAGCCCAATGGCACTGCATATACCACGGAATTCCCGATGAGTTGATATATTTCCTAAAATTCAATGACCTTTTTTTTTAAAATTCAATGACCTATTTTAAAGTTATAGGACAAAATAAATAAAAATTCCTAACATTTTGTAGATCATTAACAATTATTCCCAATATCACAAAAACATGGTGAAAAATATATTCTTGGTTAACACCTTGATATATTGCTAATTTTTTTTTTTCATATTGAAAAAAAGATTATATTTCAAAAATTCTTAAAAAGAAAAGATTTTTGCAAATTTATAGGAATAATTAAGGATTTAATTTTATGTATTTATTAGAGTTATAATCAAATGTTCTTGCAAATTTTATTTGCCGCCTACCAGAGATTCAGGTCAAATGAATTCTGAAAAAACTTATTTGCTACAGTAAAAATACTGTAAACATTACTTAACATAATTAACAAAAAAAAATTTGAAAAAGTTTTGAAATCATTTAAAAAAATATTTTCATCTAATTCACTTTTTATCGTCTTAATTTCTTCACATTTTATCATCTTAATAAAATAAATTACAAATGCAAACATTTACTCCTATTTATATATAGGTAAATAAAAACAAAAATTTATTGAAATTGGAGAAAATTGTTCTTACATTAGTTTCAATAAAATCACACATTGCAGTGAAAGATGCACCACGACAAATCTTTACCATCTCTGAAGATTTCATGTCATCGTTAGATATTTTCATGGATTTTGTTGAAGCTGCACCACATAATCTATCAATGGTGTTAGCACCATAAAATGGACCATAAGCAGTTCCTGATAAAAATTAAATTAGAAATGATTAGAGACAATTTTACAAGGAGGAAAAGGTGACACTCCCCTTCCCCCCAAACACTCAAAGAAGACAATTTTTAAATTTTATTTTATTTTTTAAGAAATATAGTTAGTTAGCACTTGACACATCTCAGTCTGAATAAGTTTACCTTTCTTTTTTTTATAAAAAGCACTAGGCACTTTTTAATGAAACATGTATTACACATTCCAAAGCCTAAAGTATACTTTTTAGTACCATATAAACTAAAATCTGTGTAAATATATATATATTTCTTTTACAATTATTTATTTAAAATTGTTTAAAATTATTTATAAATAAATTTTACATTTTTTTCTTCATAATGTATCTGGAGTATTAATATTCCATGTCCTAAAATGTTTATATTGAAGAATGCAAAAACCAGTTTGTGCACAAATTGTAGTGTAAATGTAGTCTAAACCAATGAAGAAGAGCTACATCAGGCTCCTCTATGTTGACACAGATAAGCTGCACAAAGCAGCTGGTCAAAAAAGCTATGATAAAAATTTTTTAAATAAATTTACAGAAGGTGAGTCAACTGCTTCCTGTGAAAGAGCGTTCCAGTGTTTTGTTACCCTATTTGTAAAAAAGTCTTTTTGTTCAATGCAACCTTTGATTAGTTGAGGCAAAAGTCGCTGATTGTGTACACAGAGATTATAATTTGTTGTTGAATTTATTAGGGTTTGAGGGAAATGAAAGTTGACTTCGTCAATCTGGTGAGTAAATTTGAACTGTTGGATTAGGTCACATTTTTTCCTGCGATCCTCAAGTGATGTTAGTTTCAGCATTTGTTTTTTCATATGGTGGATGTTTTATCTCAGATATTGTTTTCATTACTCGCCTTTGGACTTTCTCTATCATCACAATATATTTTTTCAGGTGAGGAGACCAAATCTCTACTGCAAAATCTAGATGCAAACAAATGTATGCAAGGTACAGTATTTTCCATAAAACTAGTCTGTAACTACAAAAAGCTTATTTGAGATGATTAAACATTTGGTTTACAATTGAGACTTGTTTCAACTTGAGTTTTGACCTTTAAGTCATTGGAAATAATAGTCCCATGGTCCCATTCAACTATCGTTTCTTTCAATATACAACGGGTTCCATCTGACTGTTTAATTGTGTATGAGTGTGTTGACTTGTTAATGTGTCCCATATGCATAACTCTGCATTTATCTGTGTTAAAAGGCATTAGCCACCTGTGTGACCAGTCAACTATTTTACCTATGTCTGCTTGAAGAAGGGTGGCATCTTGCAGCGATTTGATGACTCCAATAATTTTACCATCATCGGCATAAAGTTTTATATGGTGTACAATGTTGTCTAACAAATCATCAATGAATAAGATGAAAAGCAGTGGACCAAGAACCAAGCCCTGTAGCACACCACTAGTTACTGGGACCCACTCAGATGTTAATCCATCTAATAATACTCTCTGTAGCCAACCAGTTAACCATTTCTCAATCCATTTTAGCAGAGTATCACTAATGCCATAAGCTCGCAGTTTGTGTAACAAGCGCCTGTGTGGGACTTTGTCAAATGCTTTGGCAAAGTCTGAATAAATAACATCTACGGGAAAACCCTATGTGCATACCTTTTGCTAGTATGTCACGCCCTTTTAAAAGATTTGTGACACACCCTCGTTTAGTAACAAAACCATGTTAAGCTTTAGATATAAGATTTTGTGATGAGCAAAATTTCATTATACTATCATGTATGAGACTTTCCATGACTTTGCAGACTATAGATGTTAGTGATATCGGCCTGTAATTTGCTGGTTGAAGTTTACTCCCTTTTTTAAAAATTGGTGTAACATTAGATTTTTTCCACAAATCTGGAACAACACCGGTGGACATAGATTTCTTGATTAGTGTGATTAGGATTGCAAAAGATGTTGCACACTTTTTAAGTACATGAGGATGTATTTTGTCGTGATAAATAAACCCATGGCTTTATTTTCAGATAACCTTTCAAGTTTTTTTTCTACATCACGCTCATGAATGTTGTTTTCATCAAACTGACATATGGTCTGTGTGCATAGATCAAAAAGTGGCATAGAGCCTTCTTGTTCGACTGCAAACACTGTCTGGAAATAATTATTTAATATTGCACAAATTTCATCTTTTTTTGTAGTTGTTAAATTGTTTGTTGTTACTAGACAGCGAGTTTGTTCATGTACTTGTTGTTTGCTGCAAACGTGTAAGTGTATGCATTTCGGGTTAAACATGCATAAACTAGTTCTTCATATGAAAGCATAGAAAAAACTATGAAACTTTGAAAGCTTCTTTTACTACTTTTTTAACATTTTTGCATGCATCTTTATGTGCATTTTGTAAACTTGCATGAGTATGGCAACTTGCAGCGATGTATTTGAGCCATAATGTATGTTTTTCTTTTACTGCTGCTTTTACCTCCGGTGTAACCCATGGAGAATCTTTTTTTAGGTGGAACTAAAGTTGTTTGTATGTGTTTTGCAACAGGTTTTTTGTAGATATTAACAAGTAAGTTGAAATTATCATTAACAGTATGACCTTCAAACATGGTATGCCAGTTGTTTGAAGCTATTTTGGCAGAGATTGCATCAATATTTGCTCGACTCCAGATTAGATGTGGACGTGAGAGGTTTGGTGCTGTTTCTTTGAAATGAACAGCTAATAAACCAGTGATAACACACTGTGATTGACCTGTTTTTGTAAACCCAAGTGGTCATCTTCTGAGACTTTTATGAACCTATCTGGATCATCACTAATAATCAAGTCAAGTGTTGATGATGGTTCAACAAGACTTGAATGACAGTCGGTTGGAAATGTTATTAGCTGTGTTAAGTTATTATCCTCTAAACAAAATTAGAACCTCAAATCTCAGGAACATTTATCTATCACATGTCCAACGGTTGCAACTTTATCATTTATTTCAATAAACTCATACCATGTGTGGCCTAAATTAACCATATAATCACCATTTTATAACAGAAAGGAACAGTTATTAGTTAACAAGACCTAATCGATTAAATTGTTTGAGTTAGGTCATTAATGTCGCGTGGTCTATATATACAACCTAGTAACAAAGATTCACCATCAAATTTGATTATAAACCATACTTGCTCAATAGATTTAGTTAAGTTTTTTTTGACTTCTGTTGTAATTATATCATTTCTAGTGTATATTGCTACACCTCCTTCTCTGTTATTTCTATCGGCTCGATGCATTTCATATCCTTTTACAACTGTGTCAGATGCATTCTCATTTAATAACTTTATTGCCAATTGCATATCTTGGAATGCTGCAAATACTAATTTTTCTAGTTTAGTTAAGTTGGTGTTTCCTTGTCCATATCCAGTATAGTCATACTTAGAAGTAAAACTGATATCTGTTGCATCAATAAAATTTGAAGACATAATATGTTGCTTTGATGGTGGGAAGGCTACCACCCTGAATAACAGTGGATGGATTACCTCCTAGTGATGGATTACCAGTGGTGGATTACCTCCTAGTTATGAAATATTCAAGTTTATGATTTACCTTATTAACACAAATAAAATTGTTAGTTTTTTTGTTTTTAATTCCGTGTGTGTGTGTATATATTTATATATATATATATATATATATATATATATATATATATATATATATATATATATATATATACATATATATATATACAGGCATGGCCAGGAAGACGTGCAATTTCACGTATACATATATATATATATATATATATATATATATATATATATATAAATATATATATACACACATATATATGTATGTATATATATATATATATATATATATATATATATATATATATATATATATATATATATACACACACACATATATATATGTATGTATATGTATATATATATATATATATATATATATATATATATATATATATATATATATATATATATATATATATATATATATATATATATATATATATATATATATATATATATATATATATATATATATATATATATATATACAATGGACGATGAAAGATCAGGGCCACACTATATTAGAAAATGGCGTAGCCTATCTTTTACCAAAAAACTGTACTTTTCCTAATATAATAATAGACTTTGATGACATTTTCAGTAGCCCTAAACCTGCTTTTTAACCAGATTTACAAATTTTCCATCAGAAATCCAAAACTATATATTTTGTATAATAAGATCGAGTATGAAAAAAATATACCAACTTTGTTTTTTGAGGAGTTTGCTAAGGAGTTAAGTTGATACAGTTGATTATGATAATGATGAACGCACAAACGAGTTAATGATTATTACCTTTAATATCTTTGTTTCAAAATAATAATTCTAGACAGGAAATAATACTTGAGATAGTGATTGTTAATAAGTTTCTGTATCATTAGGAATTTCTCCTCATTATTATGCCTGGATCTACTAGTGATACAATAACATCATCTTCAGCCAAGTACCATATATACCTAAGAAGAGAATTTTTCAAGTTTATGCCTAATATTTTATGTTCTTCCCCTTTCGAATAGTTTAACAGCTTTGATAGATTTATAATAATTTGAGATGATTAGATGCCTGGATTATGATAGATGACTTTTAAAACCAAGGAATGTAAAATATAGCTACCAAAGGTGCAACTTTGTTGATATCTTTTATGTTCTACACTGACTTAAACTTCAGTTTCTTATGAGTTAGTTGAAGCATTATTATTTTTTTTAAGTTTATTGATTTTAAGTTTATTAATCTAACTTCATGACAAGCAGGGGGTTGATGAAGGTAGGTTCTTTCTATTAAAGTAACATTGTTACCTTAATAGAAAGAACCTAGTTCACATAATCTTATATAGTATGTTCTTATCTAGAGAAAAGTTTTTAGAGTTTTTCTAAGAGTTCTTCAGCTTCTTTCTTTGTAATAAGTTGTATGCAATAATCGCTCTTAAAAATGTTGAAAAAAAAACTGTTTAATGAGTTT